TCAGCATGGGGGTTAGTAGAAAATGAAGGCTAATCATGTTTTGGGTGTACTATTCTTTTAAATGCAGCAGCCAGCATCTTTAGCAGTACCTGCTGCTGCTGGATGTCTGCAGGATAAGGCCTTTCATCGACATCTTTCTGTAAAACTTTTTATGAAAAAAACAAACTTTGGGGTCATTAACTGTTCACCATTTTAATCAAATATAAAGAAATATAGGCTCAAAATAAGTAATTTTGTCATATTAATATTTAAAATGTACACTATGAGCATCGTTACATTTCCAGTTCATTACGATAGACGTTGTAGTCGGAGAAACAGTAAATACATTTTTATTGATGTTCACTGCAACTGTTTTCAGATCTTTTCAGCTTCTTTTGAAACATCTTTGTTGAGCTGAGGTCAGAAAAACATGGAAGAAGTTCATATGGGTTCAACACAGAGTCATGGAGGCTGATTTGTGGCTCCTACTGTCTGTGTTTGGATGACTTCCTGATTTCTGATGGACTTCCGATTCGGTCTAATCGTTGACATGGAAGCCCCACTCAATCTCCGGCTCATCATCGAGGCGGATAACCAGGTAGGACACGAGCTGGAAGAGGTTCTGCCACAGGCCCAGGAACAGATACATGTAGAAGTCGCTGACGTCCATTTGGCAGTAGACGCCTGAGTAATTCATGTCGCAAACGCACTCAAAGCTGTTCATGTAGTTGATGCAGAAGCCTCCGTTCATGCACGGGTCTGAGGCACATTCATCGATATCCTTCTCACACCTGAAAGGACACAAAAAATGTTTTGTTTTAGAAAGCATGCAGGTTATGAGCAACTAAGAAGGTGTTGAGAGGTAAGCAGTGTTTTTATATAGTAACAGGGATCATGGAGGGTGAAGGTTCTTTCTACTTTCCTTAAGTTTCCAGAAAATTTAGCAATTTTTCTCTTCCTGATGTTTGAGTTTGACTAATTGCATATATGGGTGACTAAACTACTTTAAGCCCCCAACTTAAATATCTCTTCTTTCTCAGAGGCAACTAATTGATTCAAGTTAATTGGTGCTCGAAGACTGACTCGTATCTTTCTCCTGCCCTTGGTCATTGTTTTTTTTTTGGTCAAATCTCCAAAACAGGGGGACGGATCAGCTAGACACCAGAGGCAGAGATGGCAAAAGTACTAACTTTCGGTACTTGAGTAAAAGTACAGATACTTGTGTTAAAAAAAT